GCGTACCTGACATTCAAGAATTGGAAATCAGCTCTCTGCTTTAGTGTATCGTTACTTGCTCTCAGATGTGTTTGTTTCCTCAGATATGAAATGAAGATGGCTATACTTTTTTCTTCTCCTTTCTGTTTCTTGTTTAAAAAGGGTAAAACCTTGAAGGTTATAGAGTAACATCATGTTATTGTAATGGTAGCCAAAAGATTTTCCTGACTGTTGCACAGACACGCGTATCTTTCTCATTTGTTAGCAGTATGACCAGGTTCTGTTCGCTTCCAGAATGTAAAAATTTGTCATCTTGTTGTGACAGATAGCAGTCACCTTTCGTAATCTCTGGGAGTAAACCTTGTGAAGCCATTAGAACAGCCTGTAAGAGAAGAGACCAGTGAAAAGAAATGCCTCAATTTCTTATGAATTGCCTCCAAATCAGTAAATTATTATTCACCTTTACTATGAGTTAAACCACTGTGTTGGAAGCTTCTGCCATGAAGGAAACATTCAGTTTTTGCAGTTTTCTGGCCTTGATGTCAGAAGACTCTTTAAATTGCCTGCAATGAGCTGCAAATAGGAAAGGAGGATCAGATTCTCGCCTGCACCAGATAGCTCCCTCTATCTCCTTAAATTCTATGTTCCAAACTTTGCAAAATCACACGTCATCTCCCAAGCACACTATTGTTGAAATAATTTACTTAACTTGAAATATTTAAATTTATTAACTATTAAACCCTAATAAATCAAAAGGAGGAACTTTAAAGAAGAACTAAGAGAAATGTGACTTGCTATCATATTTTGCCAGACAATTTTACCCTAATTCCTGAAATCTGAAAATTTAATGCAATTGTCTAACCAAGAATCATCAAAAATCCCTACAGCTGTTAAGATGTGAGGTTAGAAAAAGTAAATATACCTGCATGTACCAAAAAATACTTTAAACCAACTCATTATAAGAGAAAGTCCAAGTACAATCATAATAAATGGTCATAAATATATTGCCTTGTTCAGTAATGCCAAAGCCATATGCAAGTGTTGTGATTTTAATGTACTGTAAAACTGTTCCATGAAATACAGAATATGAAGACCATTAAAAATCTTTATGATGTTCTCCATTTAAATTCTGAAATAGTCCAAGTCAAGTTGGGCCACCTGATTTTTAATCAGAATGAAGCATGTGACTATTGTTTTTTGTCTTTGGAAAACATGTCAATATACCCTGTTCTTCAAATAGGCATATTTGTAACTACACCTAGGACAAGAAACCATTTCCTGATTCTAGGTCCATCACACGTATTTGTTGTTTTGTTTCTGACTTAGAGGTTCTTAACAAACATTACACAGTTTAAAAAGAGAAGGAAGAGAGTACTTTTTTGATTTGTATACATGGATTATTATCAGATGTTAGGATCACTGTGGCTTTCTGGTTTTAACAGTGGATAGAATTTATAAACAGCCCAAATCAGCAGCACACAAGGGTACAAAACCAAGTATATGCATCGCTGATCTGGTTTGAACCCTTGTAGATGCATGCAAAGACCTTGTGTCCCCTGACATGCACCAAGTGCTTTTGTATCCTCATTCTCTTCTTATGTTTTTCAGCCACTTCTAAATGGGTCAGATAGCGCCACAGCTGAACATGTCCGTGCTTCCTCACTGCAAAAAGATGCAACTTCTTCTGTTGAGCTCTGGCCCTATAATTTTGTAATCAGACATCAGAGGCTGATTGTCATAATTGTGTGCCTAATTTGCATTCAGAATTACCAAGATTATGCATGTCAATTTGGCGTTTGAGTCCACAATTAGATATTGCACACTTTGGTAATTGCACATGGAAATTAGGCATACAGTTGCATGTGAATGTTTGTGCACACAGTCGGACAGATACCCAACTCAAACCCTAGGAAATCCAGAATTAATCTGTAAGGGCTCCAATAGCTGAAATGAACTTGTGCAGTTTATTACTAAAAAGCTATTTAAGATACAAAGATTGAAAGATGCTTTTTGACTCATTAAGAGCAGGCCACTTCTTTTTTTTGGGATCTGTTTGATTTCTGAAAGTTATTGAAAGTGGAATTGAGGTGTTTCCTTCATTCCAAAATCACTTACTCTTTTTCTTTAAATTGGTGTTTCAATGGTTGATGTCCTGCCCTGACACTTTTCCACTACTAGTAAGGCTGGAATGTACTGTTATGTTTTGCAGTGGATTTGTACAGAGGTGAAATTATTGAGTGGCAGTTTGGAATACGTGTGAGCAAGCTGTAGAGAAAATTTGAGGAGCATACTAATTCCGAACTTTGGTTTTGCGATACGCAAAGAATACAGTGCTTTTAGAAATGCCATTTCCAGTAATAAAGGAAGCACTATAGGATGATTTCCAGGGCATTGCTATATTAACTAGACATGTAAAATAGGAAAAATGAGTGTTTGGACTTTTTTTTTTTTTTTTCCTCCCTCCTTATAAATTGTCCTTAAAACTACAGCAGGACAGATAGTAGTTGTGTCAATAGTATACCCTTTGGAGTCTGAATAAGGTACCGTTCTTCAAGAAGGTAAAAACCCCAGGCTCTGTGAAAGTACAGCCGTACATTTTGATTGTTTAATAATAAACAGCCTCAGCTAGATCTAGAGTTAACAATCTGAGGAAGCTGTTCTTTGTGTTGCCTTCACTTTGAAACATGATTTCTTTTGGAATGGATCCAATTAATGCCACACATCCAAGGCATCTGGTATGATAAAAAAGCAAACAAAGAAAGTAATTTGCATGTTGCATGTGGTGGTTGTTTTCTTTTTTTTTTTTTTTTTTCCTCTCCAGTGAACATTGTTTTGAAATTCTCAAAAAACCAAAAGCAAGACAGAGAAAAAGCAAACCCCTTCTGGACAAAGACCAAACCACACATGCATTTTAGTTAGTTAATCTTTTTGCTGAACCACCTTGTAGCATCTATTCACCCTGAAGCCTGGAGGCAGAAAACATTGATTTGTTAAAATTCATAGTGCATGAAATCGATTTTTAACATTTTTACTATTTTGTATCAAACAAACATTGCTATTATATTTTTTCATATGTCAACTGTGTATTTTTCAGAACCTCTGTTTATATATATATATATAGCTATGGCAAGAGAAAAACGTTGGTTCTCCTGATGGAGCACATGAACTGAATTATACACTAGAGATGACACCATTTACTAGTAATTTTTGCTAATCTGTTTATGCAATATGTTCATACTTGATCACGTATATGCATTGTAATAAACATTCCACAGCGCTTGTCTCTGAAACATTCAGGGATTTTATAAATGATTATGGTTTTTAATACCAAAAATAATTCTACTTTAATTATGAAGCAGTAATGTATCCCAAAGAGAAACAGAATTTACAATAAACATTAATCCTAACATACCTGATTTATGAAAAGGTAAGATTAAAAACTTATTTCCCATTAAAAAAATTTGGCTTTATTGATTTTTCAGAGAACTCCTCTTTTGTGGCAGATCCCTGTGTTAATAGGGAAGCATCTGTGCTAACTTTGAACTAACCTTAGTTCTGTGTATCTGGATTAGATGGGCTGTGAGCATAAGGCTGCCTCAGCAGCTTGAAAATGTCTGGTCAATGCACAGCTTCGATGTTAGGAAATTGTTTTTGACATTGATGAAACAATAGTAAACCTCTTGCTTTCTGTTAACAACACCCTCTGTTTAAAAATACCAGGTACATATAAAACTGATATATTTTAGTTTTTGAAGAAATTCAATGAAAAATTTTAAATTCATATGAAGTTTACATATTTCATGAAAAAATTATGTTTTCTGAAAGCTTTAAGGACTGTAGCCATCCTGTGCTTTAGTTAATCCTTTTGTATATGGGCTGATGGCCATATGTATTAAAGTCTCCCTGAGTACTGAAGTCAGTAGTCTCTGAGCCTGACTGCTGGTCAGTTATTGTCTTTTGCAAGAAATATGGAAAATGCACGGTGATGTGCTGCTGACAGTTGAAGTAGCCCTTGATTGGGAAACTCCCATCTTTATGTTGCCACTCTGAGTTTTCAGGCCATGTTAGTTGAAGTCAAGAATATGCCAATGTGGCTTTTGGTCAATTTAGACCTAAATTTCAGAGATACTTTGAAATGAACATTTAGATTAAAAAATATAGATTGATGCATTTATTGAAATTTGGGTATTTTGTATTTAGTTTTGGCTTTGTTATTACTTGTAAAAATATGAAAGGCACTATTCAAGGGACAGCAATACTTTAAATCTTCTACCAATATAATTAGTTTGATTTGGTTTTCTGGCCTGTAAATAATGCTTTAAGAACAATGGATTGATAAATAAAAGTTTTCCTTTTACTGACTGTTACACACCAGTCCAACTCGTGCAAGGTTTTGCCTGTGTTCTCGGGAACAGAATTAAGACTTAAAACGGAGATACTGAAGGTAGTCACATTTAGCTAGCAAGTGGTTAGCCCTGTCTTCTTTCTTGTGTAGAGTAGTTCTTTATCGATCTAAATATTATATTGGCATTGATAAACTGCATTTAAACTGCAATGGCCTAATGATGAGGGTCTACCATCTTTTAGGGAGGGATCATACAAAAAATAGAATCTCAAAGCTAAATTTCAGAAAGAATTATTTTCATTAAGTAGCAGATCCCCAAAATTTAGAAGCTTGAATAGTTAGAAATAATATAAAAACTACTATACAAAATGAAAAGAAGATATGGATATCCCTAAATAGAAACCCAAACAAACAAAAACTAAAGGAAAACAATTTGATTGAATAGCTAGCCAAAAACGTATCTCGCAATACCTTCTCATTATTGTTCTAACACATCTTCAGTTTAGTATGACATCAAAAGAGTTAGCCAGGAATTGCTTTGATTTATGAATTAGTGTACGCAGTCATTTAAGCTTAAGAAGTATGTCTAAAGAAGAATTCAGAAATCTCTAATCATTGATCTCAACATGTACGTTGTAACAACATACTGACAAATAAAACCTTGTTTGTGTTTCAGCACTTTAGGGAACACCTTGACAAACTTTTTGCAAAAGGGATTGGAATGCTGGACATTGCTTTAAATGAAGCTTTCAACATGCTCAATGAAGTAAGTTAATGCTTTGGATATTTATGCTGCTGACACCTTTCTTGCTATTCAGCAATTACTGTCAATGTTAAGATAATAATTTAGAAGTCACTCAAAATTGTGATATTAAAATATTATCTATAGAACAAGATAATATATAATATAATCTATATAATGAAAGACTAATGTACTTACATTCTTATATGTATATATTTTATATTAATGTATTTTGTGTCTATGCACAGTTAGCACATACACGTGTACATTAAATAAGGTTTAATTATCTTTTCTAGGTGTGGCTGTATACTCTAATGTATACTGGGGTAACATGCAAATTTCTCAGTTTAGATTGTTCCTTTTTTTTCTTTGAAAGGGCTAATGTTTTAGCAATGACAGGAATTTGTATATTCATAAACTCGAGAACACACACTTACTAATGTCATGAAATGATTGTTCATTGGTTTGACTTCTGGCATGGCAATATCTTGTAGCTTATATAAAATAAGTTATTTGAACAATTTTGTACTTCTGTAATATTCTAAGGTTGAGGGAAATATGTAAAGCTCTGTCTAACCAACTCGGAGGTATTAACTATTTATCTGAAAAAAACATGAGGCCAGCTTTCTGATAACATTCCTGTGAATAATGTCTAGAAACAGGAATGCAGTCTCTAGAAGATGAACATGATAAGGGAGATAATCTAGTGCAGAGCATATAGTTTCACTCCCAAACTCCACATAAAATCTTTGTAGCCTTCTTAGATGTCCATGAAATTGTCCTTTAAAGGATATTTTAATTAAAATCAGACCCATTGTCTTTGTCTGAAATGCTTTTCCTAACAAAAGGTGCACATCAGCCTTAGTGGTTATCATGAAATAATTTTCTGTAGTGTAGTTCAGAGATTTTTTTTTTTCCTGTGTCATTTCTGCAAAGCTAACGTTGGACTGTCAGCAAAGGACAATTTTAGCAATATTTTGATTCAGCTGACTATAGATATACTTTCTTCAGAATGTGTATTGTAAAAAGCAAGGAAAGAAAGGAGAAAATGAACAGTAGTAGTAATGAAAGAATTAGTACGAAGGAGCAAGCCAATGAAAATATAATGCACCATCAAATATTTGATTGTTACTTACTTTCAAGTAAATCTACTATGTGTTTCTTTCTAAGAACAACTTGTCCTTGAGAGATAATCACATGTCTTATCCAGAAAAATAAATATATATTTATGTGTGTGTGTGCATATATATATGTCAGCTTAAAGATAAAAAAGGAATTTACAATGGTTAGAGACAAGCTTTCAAAAATAAATAAATCAACTCCTTGTTCATATTATTTAAACCTCTAACTTGTTCAGAGTATCCCTTAGTGAGCCAAACTGGCCTTCTGGTATTCTTCCATGATAGCCTGTTTCTAAGAAATTTATAAATTCTATGCCTATGGGCTCCAAATAAATGCTATGAGTGTGATCTGTAGGGGTGTGTTACAGCAGAGCCTGTGCTTTGGGCTGGCAATTTACACCCTCTGTCTTTCTGCTTGATAGTTCAGATCTAGTACTAGTTTGCTTTATCATTCTCGGTTTGAACAATGCCTTGAAGTGTTGTCTGGGATACATTGATTAGAAATTGGTTCACCCTCTCTCTCTTGTCAAAGTACAGCTCGGAAAAGAGGCACCACTTTAAAATCTACAGTGTCTCTCCTTTAAACTGAGATACATTTCTTTCAGTGTAAAAGTTCCAGGGACTTAATTCCTTTCTACAAATTGAGTGAAACTCAGCATACTACAACTAAACTTAGTAAGGATTAGTAAAGAAAGCTGGAAAAACATTTATTTTTAATTACATTTTTACTTTTGATAAAGATGAAATTTAGGCATATTCTTACTTAAGTTTTCTTCAGGTCATGAAAACAGTTGTGTTTCAGTTTTTGCCTAGCATTTCCCAGGCCATCTATTTTTCAGCTTATCTAGTCTTAGTGGTTCCCATGTCTTAAAATCATGTACCTTTAGAATTAAAATGCATCCTAACTGACCTCAATTGGATACCAAGAATATAGAGAAACTAGTCACAATTAGTTAACAGATGATAGAGTAAAGATTGAGCTATGCCAACATGTTTTTAGGAACTATTATTCTCATGTTTACCAGGGTTGTTTTGAAAACAAGTGTTTCAGTCAGAAATACAACAAACAAATTCCCTTTTTCCTTCCTCCCCACCTTCCCCCTGGTCTTTTTCCTTTTCTTCTGCCTTTACCCTTTTTTCATCAGAGCTTATATTTATTAAAATGTTTTTAAGTGTTTCCTTAAGTATATTTGTGGTGGTGGTGGTGAAATTAAAATCTCGCAGTCTGCTGGAAAAAGAAAATGTCATCTAAAGTGAGTAGCAAACTAACTTTTGATTGAAGGATGTACCTTGCTGATGAGACCTCAAACCAAAATATTCTCTAAGGGATTTGACTTGACAAGTGTGCCTGCCTTTACACCGTAGGATCATGGATTAACTAATTGTTCCAATTACTTTGTATTCATCTTGAAGCACAATATTGATCAGTTATTTTCTGGGCATCAAATCCTAAGATGAAAGGATGAGGTTCTTCCTCCACCCACACTGCCTATGTGGTCACCCAGGCAGAGTGGAACTTGTTCCTTCATGTGGTATGTGCCAAATGTGACAGTGGGAAAAGCTGCATGAATTAAAGAACACTTTAGGTTGGTTGTGTGAAGGGTTTAAGAATCCCATTATGAGCACTTAGTCTGAGGAAACAGATGCATGACAGTAAATAGCAAACAGCCTTAGTACAAAAGATGTTCTATACTAGTTTTCCAATTCTATGTAAAATGAAAAGAAATAGTACAGACAGTGATCAAGATTACCTGAGATGATTTTCTGTTTCAGTTTAAAATTTTTGAGGCAACTGAAGCTATAATGATGAATGTGGTATAAAAATCTCATTAGATAAAAAGGGTGGGTTTGAAAATAAATGGAACTGACGTCCCATATATTTAATAGTAGCCGAGTGAGAATCTCTGGACCTGTAAGGTCACAATGGATCGTGCTTATATGTATGTTCAGATCTATTCAAGGTAGAGCGACTAATGAATCTTTCTATTTATACTATAAAAGGGAGTAAAATAGCTTCAAGCCTTCTTGCATATATACTTCCAGAACTGACAACATAAAAATCTTTTCCATTATATACAGGAATACTGGCAAAGTTTCTGGGAGCTTCTATTAAGCAACCTAGGCCAGTAAAAGCTACTTAATCTCTCCGTAAAAGAGTACAGCTAACCTTTTTCCACTTTGTCTACAGGATGTGACCTTTATGGGCCAGAAATCTACTCTTTTGAACTATAGGTTAGCTAAGGACGTCTCGCCTACATTAAAAAAAAAAAAAAAAGGGAGGGATGTAAGGAAGAAAAAAAAAAAAAAACCACCAAAACAAACCACCAAAACCCCACCAACAAAAACCAAACCAAAACACAAAAAAACCCGAAAACAAACAAAAAACCCCCACCAAAAACTACAACCAAAAAAACCCCAAAACAACCACCACCACCCAAAAACCTACGCAAAACCAAACTAAACAACCTCCCCTCCCCCCACCCCCCGCAAAAAAACCCTCAAAAATCCTGGGAGTGGTGGTGGGGAGGAGGAGGAGGGAGAAAAGAAAAAAAGAAAAGCCCTTGTTTTACAGAAATAGTTTATTAAGACTCTGGTTAGATATTAGAATGGTTCAGGGGTTACATTAATTAAACTCACTTAATTTTGCCTTCCAATTACCTTTCAGTGGTTTCCTAGGTTATTAAGACTTAAAGATGGTTGATACTGATGTTTTTGAAAAGCACATTTAAAAATCTACTTCGAAATTCTTTCCAATCATCAGTTCGTGTGGTGTTCATTATACAGTATAAGAATATAGAAGTGCTTGGTACAGTGGTTAGGCACCTACTATGTCATGTGACAACTGCAATTATCTCTTTTGGTGACAAATGTGGTCTTTGCAGTGATTACCTTTAAAAAAATCACAGCCAATTAAATAAAATTCTGTGACATTTCAAAGACTGTTAATCACAACCAAACGCTGTAAATGTCAGGATGCATTGAAATTTTTGCTGCTAACTGATGAATCACTGAGTTAATTGTAGTTCATCATAAGGCCCTTGTCATTGTTATTATTATGTAAAACACTTTCATCACTCTTGCTATTCAATAAAATTAAAGTTTTAGACAAATATGAGAAGATAGTACTCATCAAAGCATTTGAATTTAATCTCATTCTTCAAAATATTCGAACAGGTAACTACATAGAATAATGCAGATGCATGCAGGATGATGTTTTAAAATAAATATATGAAGGCATTCCCTGTCCATTAATTTCCCTTTTAATATACCTTGTCTCTTTCAAAAGACATTGTCCATATTAGGAGCAATATATCCCTTGACAAGGTAATTTCATTTCTATGAGAAAATATTGAATCTAAGATACTAATTAAGGAATCCTGCTTTAATAATTCTGGTTAAGACTGGAAGAACTGTCATGACTGAAGAATTTTAAGGATAGAATGCCTTGCAGGGATCACAGAGAAGAGTTTTCACACAGGCAGTCACTAGAACCTAGCTAACTCTGTAAACCCACATTGGTTTCCCTTTAACATGTTTCTGCTACTGTTTGCTGAGGTTCTTGTTTGATCAAAAGGAAACAGATCTAGAGGAGAGCTGCAGATGATATAAATGATTTGTTGACTATTTGTGGATGTGATTGCTCACCTTTAGAAGTATAAAGGCAGGAGAAAATGGGACAGAGTACTGCTGGAACTCACTGTCCTTTCTTACTGCAGGCATTTCTGCAAGAACGACATTTTTAGAAGTTAAGATCTTTTTTCTAGAAAAAAGAGGTTTAGAGTTTTGGGAAGAACAACAAATATGTAAGGACAAATAGACTGTAGAAACCTGAGACACAGGGTAGTTGCTAGCCAAATCAAACTAGAGTACTCTGAAGAAATTTTGTTGAATCCAGAAGCACTCAGAGTTCCTGCAAGATAATTCACCTTTAAATTTAAAAAACTATTTTTCAAATGGGATTACCTTTCTTTGGGCACTATTCACCACAAATAGCCTGGTGAGGTGGGACAGGGTTATTATTACTTGGCTTTCTCCATACGAAGAGAACGGTGGTATGATGTGGCCTTGTCTGACCTCAGAGTTGGTAATATACCTCTAAACTGCATAGAAGGGAACAAACAGAGATTGTTCATTCATTAACATGTATGAGAATGTTAGCCCAGTCTAAAGAGAGTTGTGTGTAATGCATCGGTTTATTGATTTTTTTCACAGAATTTTTTTTTTTAGTGTTCATACAGAGGCATTAAAAATAATTTTCCAACTTTTTTTTTTTTTGCTAGTAGGCAGGTGTTTCACTTAAACTCCTCGAATATAATACACAGACAAATAAGAACCTATTCTGCCATGAGAGAAAATGGAGACACGTGGCTTCAAAATTAAGATACCACCTCCAGAGTCAAGTTTGTTATACCTCAGTCCAGTTTATTTGCTCTTTGACCAGGAGAAAATCCCATTTGTGGAATGATGTAACTTTCTTCGCATACTCCAAACGATCTGTGATTTCTAAGTACCTGTGTTCAAGTACAGTTGTTCAGCAGCTTGAATTACTTACATGTATTTATTTTGAGTAATAGTAGAGTCTGAGAATATATAAATATTAACTTGGTTCTCCCAGATAAACATTTTATGAAAAATAACATATGGAATGTAATCCTGAGTGAATATGAATACCATATGAATATTTATATGTGTCTCCAAGTGGTGTATCTTCTGTGCTTTGCGGTAAACTTATCAGTCATTCATTTCTTCTTTTTGTGTAGCTTGTTCTTTTAAAATTATATTTAAATCAAAGAAAACCCTTTGTAGATGCATCAATACATATTATCTATCCAACATGAGGAATACACTTCTGGTTTGGGGAAGTGCTATGTTTATGTACATTTCTTATTTTTCGAGCTGGTAAAAGGGGGATAAATTCCTTGTAGATTCCTGATTCTGTTGCACAGTTGAACTTACAATTCAGTAAGAACATAATATCTATGATAAAATGTTTTCAAATTGAGGCTTTTTCACCTAATTCTAAGAATGTTGGAGATTTGACAAGAACCATGTTTATCCAATGCAATCCTGTCTATTTTTGTGTAACAGGAATGTGCTGTAATGAAATGATTGTTTTCTTTCACAGTTCAATCACACAGGACAAGGAAGTATTTGCAGCCAAGCCATAATGTTGATTACTGATGGAGCTGTGGACACATATGATACAATATTTGCAAAATATAATTGGCCAGACAGAAAAGTAAGTATCTTATCACCTTTATTTGATGGAAAACCCTAAGCTTCCTTTCCAGTATAGTGTGCTTATTGAAAAGTCAGTAACAATATTTCTAATGAACTAAAAATTATTTTGGATAACTAGATGTTTCATAAATTACAAAGATGATGCTTATGTGATATTGCTTGAGGATAGAGATGGCCTTTTACTGCAGTAATGAACTTAGGATAATAAGATATTAAGAAAATATTTCCCTCCAGGGTACATTTTTTACCGTTATAAAATGCTTCCTCTGTGAGATATCATTAAACATGAAAAAACGTCTTTCTCCCAAAATATTCATTAATAATTCAATGCTTTTTGAAGCTAACGAGGAGGATGTACTGTGGAGAGTGAACAGTTTACTATGACTGGAGAAGGAGCAGATGTAGTACTCACTATTTTTAATTTCTTTATTTGGCAGACTGAGAGGTAGAATTGACAATTGGTGAGATTTAATTAAAATTTATTTGGTTCTATTGATCTGTAAAAAGTAATTTGACCAGAATTACATTGTTATATAACAAATAGACGTTATATGGTAGTGCAGAAATGCCTTGAATTTTCCTGATGGGAAAGCTGTAGTAGACCTTGTGTTTGGATGAGAAATGATTTCCTTCTACAATTTTTATCTTCGGCTAATGCAAGTTTTGGGGACTATTTTAGGTAACTTCTGTAGTTTAAGGTATCTGCCGTGTTATATGCTTGTGGAACCAACAACCTTACCCTCTGAAGTGCAATTTGAGCAAATAATTGTTTTATATGAGTGTGCTGCATGGGATTTCAGTATTCTGTAGAAAAAAATTTTTAGTCAGGTCTCTCATTTATAAAATTATATTTGTTTTCTGTTGTCATTTTTCTTGTTTAACTGAACTAAACCTCATCTATTAGCAGTGAGTGAGCAAGAGAAAATGCGAAATTGGTAGTATTTTACTGATCTTCCAAAAATGTTACATCAATTACTATCATCTTGTGTAGCAAAGATTATGTACAATTATTCTGCCTTTTTTTTTTTAAAGAGTTTTTTATTCAGAGAATGTAGAGTAATAACTAACTTCAGCCTGAAGATCTGTTTTTCTCTATAGATACTGTGCTTGCTTTTTTTATGTAACTTCATTCTGTAAAAGAAGTTCATACCTTTTGTGATTTTTACCAGGACCTGACAGGAAGCCTGTCATCTTTAAAAGAATGCAAAAATGCATCAGTATTGGCATATTCTCAGGACAGCTGTAGCACTTCTTGTGTGAATTGATGATAGACTTTGTTTAGTGGAAGGGATGAGGAAGTTCAAGATTTAATTAATATATTAAGATGCGGATCTAGATATTATGAATGAAGTTCCATTTGATATCAACACTTGTCTGGTTTGGTATTTGTTGTACTTCATTGTGTCACGTCTCAATTGGCAATGGCAATGTTGCTGAGACAAAACAGAAATATTTGTTTTTACTCTGTGACATACAAGAAGTACCTCCTTGAAATGTGGTAATCAACTATTTACTGGTCGGAGGAGAACATGTGACCTTTGGTCTTTGTGTCCCTACTCCTCTTCGGTGCTTTTCACTGAGATTATTGGTTGTTGCAATTTACGTGAAAATATGTCCTGCCTTTTCTTATTCTGTACTTACTGCTGAAGATGGATGAGACTTCTGTAGTAAAGTTTATATTGTTGGGGGTTTTTGTTGTGTGGTGGGTTTTTTGTGGTGTTTCCCCCACCCCCGTTGATTAATTAGACATTGGAATGTTAAGGCTTTATAAAATACATTTGTCTGTGGAAATTACTGAATAATTCTGGAAATGTTATCATACTTGAATGTAGTTTGTTTTTCAGATATATAAATATTCAAAATGGAATCTGTTTTTATCAGACAAGGTCATATGTTAGGTTTTTGTTCCTAGGTAAATGACTTACTGCTTAACATTATATGGCTTGTCTTTAGAATGTTAAGGCTTTATAAAATACATTTGTCTGTGGAAATTACTGAATAATTCTGGAAATGTTATCATACTTGAATGTAGTTTGTTTTTCAGATATATAAATATTCAAAATGGAATCTGTTTTTATCAGACAAGGTCATATGTTAGGTTTTTGTTCCTAGGTAAATGACTTACTGCTTAACATTATATGGCTTGTCTTTATCACCTGGCTATGAATGTAGTTTGTTTTTCAGATACATAAATATTCAAAACTGAATCTGGTTTTATCAGACAAGGTCATATGTTATATTTTTGTTCCTAAGTAAATGACTAACTACTTAACATTATATGGCTTGTCTTTATCACCTGGCTGTGCTCATATAAATGCCTGGTAGTAATATCTCAGTGTCTCTCTTAAATCCTTCTTTGTGTTCACACTTATGTCTGAATAGTTTTCTGAGAGAAACAAGACAACCTGATTGTGAAATAATTCCTTTACTAGCGGTTTCTTGAGATCATCAATGCTTATAAACAACAAATTTTTTTCCTTGTTTTTGTGTAATTCCCAGATGTTTGCATACACTTATCTCTATAAGAATGGTCTGAGAAGTGTTAATTTCAGCTAGAGGCATCAATTTTTACTCTTAATACTTTACTCAATCAAATCTTGTAATGGTTCAAAATTTCCATGATCAACTGATGTATAAAGAATTTTCACCAAGGAATACATAAATTTAAACAAATTAAATAGATGATATGAGGAATATTCCTGAATCAAAATTACCTTTGGAATTTCAGTAGGTATTTCTGCCACCTTCACCTTCCCACTAATTTTATCTCCTTTCCAGTTTTTTATACAAGTGAGTGACTTTTGTAGGCTAGCATTAGCTCTGGTTTATATGAAAACACAACCAATTTTGTTCTACTGGAAAGGAGTCTTAAAAGGTTTTTTAAAAAAAGAAATAAGTCTTGTGTCCTGTGTTTCCTCTCTTATTCAGTGGGATATTACCTGATTTAATTCGTTATATTTGTATAGAACATAGGAGAACTTACTGCTTTATCTGGCAAATATGGGTTTCTAAGGAGGTTCACAGAATCTCTCCGAAGGATGTGCCTCTCACGTCTTGTATTTTCTTATACAGTGAAGTTAGTTCCTCTCTTAACAATGGGTAGAGACAGTGGAGAAACTCTGGGATATGAAATCAGTAAGTAAAGAATTCTCTGAAACAGTCAGCTAAGTATTTTCACAAAACCATATGCTATATATCTTTCATGAGCAAATCAACAGCTATACTTAAGACAACAATACTTAGCACAACTGTTGCAGTAAGCAGCAGGACAGGTTTCCCTTTGGGTACACTTTACAAAGACCTGGCATGAAGAATCCTACCTTGTTTAGCAAGGACATGGTATTTAGGGAGTAGCTTTTACTTAATAATACAATATTCTATCCAACACATAAAACATTCAGTGTATTATACAGCCTTCTAAATTGTATATTAGGTAATATGTAGATAAGAAATCAAATCAATTCATCCTCTTTTCAGCCTGAAATGTTTTAGTATAAAAAATGTAATATTTCCATATGTATGCTTTAATGCATTAGAGCTTTCAATGTTCTTTGTTGGATTTGCTGTTATAGAAAGAATTATCGAAAATGCAATATCCTACATATTTGCAATGTCAGTGGGCCTAAAAATTATGCATGCGGTGTACTTCAAGGCCTCCTGCTTTATCTCGTTCCCTTATACAAAGGAACAAATTCTTTATACAACTGTGAAGGCTTTGCTGACTTGTCAGTGAAAGTCTCTTTTTTCCAAGCCATCTATGTCTTTGCAAAAAATAGTCTTTTTACAACTGTGCAAACAGGGCTAAGAGCACTTTGTTACAGGTCATTGTGGGTGTATTCTGCCTGAATACTAGTACCACTAATTGTATCTTAGAATCACAGAATGGTTTGGGTTGGAAGGGACCTTAAAGCCCATCCAGTTTCAACCCCCCTGCCATGGGCAGGGACACCTTCCACTAGACCAGGTTGCTCAAAGCCTCATCCAGCCTGGCCTTGAAGACAGCCTCTTCTTCCTCTCTATTGAAAAATTCCAGGAAGATTAACTTTGTAAATGTTGCTGAAATGCTATAGCACATCTAAAAATGAAATTACAATTAAATCAGAGATATTAGAGCTTCACAAGCCCTGTCATGCTCTCTGTTGAAAGCCATTTTAGCCACTAACTGAAAATTAAGAAACTTTGAACAGAAAGTATCTACTTAAATAATGTTTAACATATTTTGACATTTTTAACATAGCAAGACTTTTCTTAGTATGTTGTGACATTGCAAAGGAAAATAATATAGTAAATCTTTTTGTATAAATGCATGAGAAAACACGTTAAAAACCCCAGTGTCTCACCCAGCAACTCCATGAAGTATCGTGTTCCTTTTTCTCCAATGGCCTGAATGATCAAATGTCTGCATAGTTTGCAGCATGGGTTTTTTATTCTCCTCCTTTCCCCCATTGCTTTTATGCTGCTATTAAGTTCTATACTTTTATAAAGCTCATCTCCTCAGTGTTTTGGAGAAGCCCAAAAGCATTTCTTTCGTGACTATGATTTAGGGCAGATTCTAATATCCCATTGAGATCAAGGGGAAATAGGAACAGAATTGAAGTATATAAGCAAATTTTTTTTTTGTGAAATTTCAGTTTGGATGCAGTCTTCTAGTATTCACTTTTCATATGGGTTGATGCAGCACTTCCGAGTGGTCAGGGAAGATAACATCTATGTGAGCTGTTCTGACATGCAACATCCAGAAAGGGATGTTCTGTTCCCTTAGTGTGGGAGCTTTTCACTTGGTGGTGATATACCACATGCAAAATCTGGAAAACAAAACGGAAAAAAATTTGCATCAATTAAACTACATCATTCCCTTTGGGTTTGTCCTTTGGTCCTGAAGAGCGTGTTCTTTCATAAATATCTGGAATAGCTATATGTTGCGGTAGATATATGCAAAACCAGAAGCAATGTTTCCTGACTACTTAGTAAAGTGAAAAGTGTGAGTATAAATAATAA